TTATCTTGCCACAATCTTCGATTTGAATATATTGCTGAGTTGACAAAATGTCTTCTAAACCATGAAATCATTACTTTTTTAAACTGTTGAACGTTGATGTTTCTGTTTTCTCACAAAAATATAACATTTCAGTGAGTATTTTAAGTATATTTTCTACACTAGTTATTAACAGGCGATATTCGTGTATATATGTAGTAGTTCGCATCAGTAAACCCTGGCTTTGAGAGAAAATTTCGGCCCTCAAAATCACTTGAAGTTATTCGGGACGAAATTACCAGAGGTGTGAGGATCGCGGGGATCGTGTGGGGTTTGGGTAACACCCCTAATGCGTAATTCGCAAGCGATTAGGTTAGTTTTAATTTAAGTCGATTTTGAGACAAAAGTCAGTGGTCACATGAATACGTATCGTATTTAACTATATTTGTGACATTTATAAGAAAGTATTATGTTTGGCGGAAAAATATGGAAAAGATTGATTAATTACGTTACTTTGTGGCAAGAACTACATGTATAATTATTAGTTATTTTGAGAAACATCAGTGCAAAGAACTGACGACAAAATCAGCCGTCATTTATGGACCTAGTGCAACCTTGTAACAGTCACCATCCCCGATCTTCTGCGCACGATAAAAACCAGCCAGTAATCCACCTTGAATACTGTTTTCTCTTGAAGGAACATTCATGATCTCAGCACCCTTTCCACCTTTGAAAATAAAGATTCGTATTTAAATATATGGAACTTGAATCACGACTTAAGTTATATGTCGTATTTTGAGACAATTTATGATTGATTTGTACAAAATATATACATTCATTGCATCAGAATCTCGACGTTAGCATTCAGGCAGTTCTTCTCACAGACGGGTCATAACTACTGCTACATGGATGATAACTCGACTTTGATACGGTTCTAAATGCCCGCTAGTATAGCTGGGTAATAAACTGTAACAAACCTTGTCTGCTCGATGCAAACGGATATTCGTCACAATTTTTTCCCGGTACTTTTGGCAATTTTGGACAACCGGAGTTTCTTCTGTTCTGTGCTATAATCTTAGGGTCTGTGACGCGGTTTAACATTGTAGGTTTTCCCTTTGAAATGGCGTTTCGCATATTGTTGCAGACGTTTGGGATACGAGAACATGGAAATGTGATGGTGGGACATTCTTTAAGAAATAAGAAATAACTTAAAGTTGTTGTGAAAGTTGTTGTGTTCATCCCGTTCAGCGAGTCTATAAACGAATATCAAAACTAAACTTTTCATCATGTGTGCCCGAGTCTGCCCCCAAAATTTCGTACACATCTGCTCAGTACTTAAGCGCAGTGAATATAAAGATAAAGTTGGAGTAATTTCGTTCATGTTTCACTGTAAGAGAATACTCGTGCACACAGGAATACTAAAGGCATCCATGCGTACAGTAAAATGAAACAAAAATTGCACAGTAGTCAATACACACCATCAGACTGCGCCATTAAAGTCGGAATGAAAGCAACAAAACTTTCAGATTCTACAAAATCAAATAACTCGCATTTACCATACTGTATTAAACCATAACTGAAAGCAAATTATATAGGAGGCGGAAGTCATATAATTGACTATTTGCTACCCTACAGCCTATATCATCTAGTTTGTCAACCCACTAAACTCAGCCTTCAGATATCTTACTTTTCAACTTCAAGACTTCCTTTTGTTTTCACTCCAACGAAAACGACGTGGTTATAGATCCAAGATACTGACTCAACAAGAAGTTAACCGTGTTTTAGCCTACTCAAAACGTACCTTTCAAATGTCCAGCGAAGCAGTTTTCCTTTATTTATTTATTTATTTATAAATAAATAAATAAATAAATTATTTCCTTTATTTATTTCCGCCCCAGAGCCGGAAATCAAGAAAGTGGAGATATTGACATTATTTGTTGTCTCGCTAAAACCCAGGGTTTGGTAAATGGAAGTCCTATAATAAGGTCTGGATGACTTGACAAATGTATGGTCAACCATTGACTCACCACACGACTGTCAACAGTAAAAATAGGCAACAAAAATACCCAAAACATCAGCGGAAAAAAGAGAACAAACCAGGGCTGGATCCAGCACTAAGGCACAAATTTGCATTACAAAACAAAGTGGTTTATATTTTTAGCAGTTTTCTTGTGTCATGCAAATTAGTGCACTAGTGCTGGATCCACCCAGGAACAAACGTTTGTCTCTGTCTCGCGCACGCAAATAAGACGTTTGTTAAAGAAATGTCGTATTACGTTTCTGACAATATTTATTTTGTGACAGCACAAAAGAAACGTCTACAACATCAGTAGCTTTAGACCACACGATATGAAGACCTGGCTCTAATAAGTTTGATCTTGAAAGAATCGCCATCTTTGATATCATTTTTCTTGAAAAATTGTGCCAGTTTGCCCCCTTGGATGTTGTTTTCTCTTATCGGAACCGGCCTCAAAACAGCACCTTTTCCACCTTAGAACATGAAATCTGTGTTAGATTAATATGTCACATGTGTTTCACGTGATCATCAGTTACCACTGAACTATATATACTTATCATTATGTGAAAATGCTTGTTTTTGACCGCGAGATCTTACCCTGGGCACAGCGCGCAAACGGGTACTCGTCAATATTATAGCCTGCTGGTCTCCATCCTGTGCGTGAGGCAGCAGTCTCGTGAGTTGCGGAGTCTAAATAATAATAACTAGGAGTTACTATCGCAAGGAGATTGCTGCCTTGGGAAAACAACTATATATTAGCTTGAAAAAAAACTTTATCTACAAGTGATATCAGTGATTAAGTCTAAACAGATAAACTTACAGCACTTCAAAACTTACTACTTACACTTATTTGATGAAGTCTGAAATATTTACATCTTAATAGTAACAAGCAATTAATACTGATAATAACTTTTTATTAATAAGGCATTAATAGTAACAAACACTATGTATGCAATACAGTGCTATACATAAGTGTTTGTGATTGACTTATTGGTGGGGGGAGGGGTTTACATTATGTTTTCTCAACTGGTATATTATTTATATGAAGAAGATTTGCAATGCTTTTAAAATAAAAGTAAGATCAATTTATATTAAAGGAAGAACAGGAAATGTCAACATAATCGTACAAAATGTCAAATGCACTATCAAATTTAAATGTCAATTTCAGCAGCACAGTAACATGTGCCATAAATAGTTATTTAATGTTACATGTCAATAACATCTATAAAAGGGTACACAAAAACAAAACTAGAACATTTCTAATGTGATAATGGGGACTGTTGACACAGTAGAAAGACAAATGTCTTGGGGAACTATGTCTACCAAGGCTTTTACATTTGCACTATTAAGTCTATATTGTCAAGCCAAATCAGTTTCATTACACTGTTGTTTGCTTGTATACTCCCTCATATTTTTCATGATCATTTTCCTTTGAATGTTTAGCTTTTTTGTAATTCTCTATTTTTTCGGGGCCTTACACTCTGGATAAAATTCCCAGTTTTAGTTGAGGTGCAATTTTAAAAAAGAAGTTCTGTAAACTGAACAGGCACAATTTCAAACAAATTGCAATGCTATGCCTCAGAAAGAAATACAAATATTGCTCTAAATCTGAAATGTTAAGTTTGCAAAAGTTCTGCAATACTACTGCTGTACCATTAGGCTTGGACATTCCAAAACAATTATGTGCATGAGAATCAAACAGATAGAAACACTCCATATTATGCTTTATCAAAGAACATATTTATATTTAACCAATGTATTTGCAATTGCTATGTGAAGTTTATGAGAGGGAATGTCCTCATGAATGATAACAAGCCCTTGCAGTTCTTCAATTACACAAATTACTTCCCCATCATTTGTTGTGACCATTGAGTCAGCCACAATGGACGACTCATAATTGTCATTTACCACAACAGGTCACTATCACTCACCACGATGGGTGGTTCATTTCGCTCAGATGTCGAAATAAAGCTCATTCTCAAAACATGATACACTAACAAGTTTTGGCAGGTCTTTCGCGGATAAATACACGGCACCTGGTGGCAAATTGTCAAGTGATTTCTGTGATTATTCATCGCTTTTATATACATTTTGTCGCCTTGTATTAATAAAAAAGTGTTTAATGTCGTTAGCGACCATTGATTGCCATTGGCGCAAAGGCTTTTGTGGGCTGTTAAAAGTCCTAATAAACTATTAAAAGCACACTGTTTACCTCTAGAGGTAACATGAAAACAGTCATCAGCCATAATTTGTCGATTGTTTCAGCGTCAAGTCTTTTTTTAATACTTGCCTTGGAGTACGAACTTGCTTGTTATTAAAATACCGCAGCGTCACTGCGTCAAACTCCGCCCGGTCACAAAGCCCGATGTCACAGGATAATTGCCCCCCCCCCGATATATAATTGCATGTTCAATACATCAGTTCTCCACACCTGCTTTCATGTGTCATGTGTCATACCTTATTAAACTAATTAGAGAATTATCACACGGTGTTAATTGTACTAATTTCACATTTTAACGACTTCATTGTTTTCAATGGCACTTTAAACACTTTTTTGTGGGTTTTTTATTGTCCATTATCTTGCCATAATCTTGTATGGTTGACAAAATGTCTTCTAAACCATGAAATGGTTACTTTTAAATTGTTAACCGCGTTGATGCTTCTGCGTTTTCTCACAAAAATATAACATTTCCGTGAGTATTTTAAGTATACTTTCTACACTAGTTTTAACAGGCGATATTCGTGTGTATATGTAGTAGTTCGCGTCAGTGAACCCAGGCTTTGAGAGAAATTTCGGCCCTTAAAATCACTTGAAGTTATTCGGGGCGAAATTACCAGAGGTGTGAGGATCGCGGGGATCGTATCGGGGTTTGGGTGACACCCCTAATGCGTAATTCGCAAGCGATTAGGTTAGTTTTAATTTAAGTCGATTTTGAGACAAACGTCAGTGGTCACATGAATACGTATGGTATTTAGCTATATTTGTGTCATTTATAAGAAAGAATTGTTTAGCGGAAAATCGTTGAAAAGATTGATTAATTACGTTGCTTTGGCGGCAAGAATTACATGTATAATTATTAGTTGAGAAACATCAGTGCAAAGAACTGACGACAAAATCAGCCGTCATTTATGGACCTAGTGCAACTTTGTAACAGTCACCATCCCCGATCTTCTGCGCACGATAAAAACCAGCCAGTAATCCACCCTGAATGCTGTTTTCTCTTGAAGGAACATTCATGATCACAGCACCCGCTCCACCTTTGAAAATAAAGATTCGTATTTAAATATATGGAACTTGAATCACGACTTAAGTTATAAGTCGTATTTTGAGACAATTTATGATTGATTTGTACAAAATATATAGATTCATAGCAACAGAATCTCGACGTTAGCATTTGGGCAGTTCTTCTCAAAGACAGTCATAACATGGACGATAACTCGACTTTGATACGGTTTTAAATGCCCGCTAGTATAGCTGGGTAATAAACTGTTACTAACCTTGTCTGCTCGATGCAAAAGGATATTCGTCACAACTTTGTCCCGGTACTTTTGGCAATCTTGGACAACCAGAGTTTCTTCTGTTCTGTGCTATAATCTTAGGGTCTGTGACGCGGTTTAACATTGTAGGTTTTCCCTTTGAAATGGCGTTTCGCATATTGTTGCAGACGTTTGGAATACGAGAACATGGAAATGTGATGGTGGGACACGGTGCAAATGCTTTAAGAAATAACTTAAACTTGTTGCGTTTCATCCTGTTCAGCGAGTCTATAAACAAATATCAAAACTGAAATTTTCATCACGTGTGCCCGAGTCTGCCCTCAAAGTCTCGCACACATCTGCTCAGTACTTAAGGGCAGTGAATATAAAGATAAAGTTGGAGTAATTTCCTTTATGTTTCACTGCAAGAGAATACGCATGCACTGAGAATCCAAAGGCATCCATGCATACAGTAAAATGAAACAAAACATAGTAGTCAGTACCCACCATCAGACTTCGCCATTAAAGTCGGAATGAAAGCAACCAAAGCAATGAATGATAGGATGGACTTCATTTTTAAGCTTTCAGACTTCTAGAAAACCAAATAACTCACATTTACCATACGGTATTAAACCATATAACTGAAAGCACATTATATAGCGAGGCGGAAGTCATATGAATGACTATTTGCTACAGTCTATATCATCTAGTTTGTCAACAAACTAAACTCAGCCAGCCTCAGATATCTTACTTTTCAACTTCAAGACTTCCTTTTGTTTTCACTCCTACGAAAACGACGTGTTTATAAATCCAAGCTACTGACTCAACAAGAAATTAACCGCGTAGTTTAGCCTTCTCAGAACGTACCTTTCAAATGTCCACCGAAGCAGTTTTCATTTACTTAGAAGTACCGCCCCAAAGCCGGAAATCAAGTAAGTGGAGATATTGACATTATTTGTTGTCTCGCTAAAACCCAGGGTTTGGTAAAATACATATCCTAATAAGATCTGGATGACTTGACAAATGTTTGGTCAACCATTGACTCACCACGCGACTGTCAACAGTAAAAAAAGGCAACAAAAATACCCAAAACAACAGCGGAAAAAAGAGAACAAACCAGGGATAGATCATGCAGTACTAATGCACAAATTTGCATTACAAAACAAAGTGGTTTATATTTTTAACAGTTTTCTTGTGTCATGCAAATACGTGCACTAGTGCTGGATCCACCCCAGGAACAAACGCTGGTCTCTGTCTCGCGCACGCAAATAAGACGTTTGTTAAAGAAATATCGTATTACGTTTCTGACAATATTTATTTTGTGACAGCACAAAAGAAACGTCTACAACACCAGTAGCTATTGACTACACGATATGAAGAACTGAATCTAGCAACTGACTAACTAATTTGTGTCGTTAATAAGTTCGATGTCGTAAGAATCGCCATTTTTGATATCATTTTTCTTGTAAAATTGTGCCAGTTTGCCCCCTTGCCTGCTGTTTTCTCTTATCGGAACCAGCCTCAAAACAGCACCTTTTCCACCTTAGAATATGAAATCTGTGTTACATTAATATATGTCACATGTGTTTCACGTGCTCATCAGCTACCACTGAATTATATATACTTATCATTATGTAAAAACTGTGAAAATGATACTTTGAAATATTTTTACTTGTTTTTGACCGCGATATCTTACCCTGTGCACTGGATGCAAACGGGTACTCGTCAACATTATAGCCTTTTGGTCTCCATCCATACTTAGTACATCCAGAATCCACTCTGTTTTTCCTGATTCGGGCCTTGTCTGTAATGCGGGTCAAAGTTGAAGGTTCTCCCTTGTCATAAATAGCGTTGTACATGTTATCCCAGACGTGCGGAAAGTCACTGCGACGCATTTTTAAAACCGGGCGAAAGAAAGCGCGTTTCTCAGATGATGATTCCTTGTTACTAATCTCGTGAGTTGCGGAGTCTAAATAATTATAAAAACAAATTTGATAGCACTTTTTGCTTTGTTTTTCTTTTCAAGGCCTTTTTTCCATATTTCGCCTCGAGTCATACTTTACGACATTATACAGCTTTACGGTATAAATACAGTAAGTTGATCGGGGTTGAAATAAAATAGACGGTTTAAAAAGTGAATTAGATACAAACCTCTTCCATGAATGGTTGTTGTGAATGCGGCGAGAAGAGCACAAACAAGAAATGGCAAAAAAACTTTCATCTTTAAAACGTTGATGCGAGTGTTTAAAAGCTAATCTTCTGACTTCTGTAAGTCTGAAAAAATAATCATACTCAGTTAGGCTATTGCTGCATGTGTATTTTATGGCATTATTTTCATTAATAAAAGCATACAATAAAACCGCAAAACAAAATGACCCAACAATGTGGTAAATTGTTTAGTTAAAAATGTTGCGTATTTATTGAAGAAAGAAGAAGTTTCTGCATGAAGAAAAGTATTGGAAATTCCTTTTTTTGTTCTTAACCTGCGTTAAACTAACCATGGTCCACGCGGTGTCACTAAAACACTAAAATACTGCAACTATATACAAGTTCATAACATTAAATTATCAATAAAAGTTTATACCTTGGTTTTGGATAATGAATAACTTCGTCTTTTAGTTCGTGTGAGATCTTTACATGCGGATAATAAACACGAACGATGAAAAAGATAAATATATAATTGCATGTTCAACACATCAGTTCTCCACACCTGCTTTCATGTGTCATGTGTCATACGTGTGAAGAATTATCACACGGTGTTAATTGTACTAATTTCACACCATAACGATTTCATTGTTTCCAATGGCAGTTTAAACACTTTTTTGCGGGTTTTTTATTGTCCATTATCTTGCCATAATCTTGTATAGTTGACAAAATGTCTTCTAAACCATGAAATCATTACTTTTTTAAACTGTTGACCGTTGCTGCTTCTGCGTTTTCTCACAAAAATAACATTTCCGTGAGTATTTTAAGTATATTTTCTACACTAGTTTTTAACAGGCGATATTCGTGTGTATATATGTAGAAGTTATTCAAAAACTCAATACCCACATCATGCATCACCAGGGGCGAAATTACCAGAGGTGTGAGGATCGCGGGGATAGTGTGGGGGTTTGGGTAACACCCCTAATGCGTGATTCGCAAGCGATTAGGTTAGTTTTACTGATTTAAGTCGATTTTGAGACAAAAGTCAGTGTTCACATGAGTATGTATCGTATTTAGCTACACTTGTGTCGTTTATAGGAAAGAATTGTTTGGCGGAAAATTATTGAAAAGATTGATTAATTACGTTACTTTGTGGCAAGAATTACATGTATAGTTATTAATTATTTTGAGAAACATCAGTGCAAAGAACTGACGACAAAATTATTAGTTTGTGACAATTTTATGCAGTAGTTACTACATTGAGGAAAGAAAACAAAAACTAGACCAAGTGAAGAAGGGAAAAAGTAGTTTGTGTTGATGTTAGTACAGTGTGTGACTTATCATGATTTCATAAGAGAAATATGTGCAACTATGCAAGTTCATAACATTAAATCATTAATAAACACTTATACCTTGGCTTTGGATAATGAATAACTTCGTCTTTAAGTTCGTGTAAGATCTTTACATGCGGATGAATACTTTGAATAAACAAAACGATGAAAAACATAAATATATAATTGCATGTTCAATACATCAGTTCTCCACACCTGCTTTCATGTGTCATGTGTCATACGTATGAAGAATCATCGCAGGACGCAGGGTGTTTAATTGTACTAATTTCATACTTCAACCGACTTCATTGTTTTCAATGACACTTTAAACACTTTTTTGCGGGATAATGTCAATTATCTTGCTATGATCTTGTATATAGTTGACAAAATGTTTTCTAAAGCATCAAACCATTACTTTTAAACTGTTGACCTTCTGCATGAAGAAAAGTATTGAAAATTCCATTTCTAGATTCTTAACCTGGTTCTTAAGATAACCCCGGTTCTTTAAAAGCCAATCCCTGGTGTCAAAACGTACACTAAAGTCCTGCAACTTGACAAAATTAAATCATGAATAAAAGCTTATACCTTCGCTTTCTATTAATGAATAACTTCGTGTGTGAGATCTTTACATGCGGATGAAAATTTTGAATAGAATAAACATGCATGAACGATGAAAAAGATAAATATATAATTGCATGTTCAACACATCAGTTCTCCACATCTGCTTTCATGTGTCATGTGTCATACGTATGAAGAATTATCACACGGTGTTAATTGTACTAATTTCATACCATAACGATTTCATTGTTTCCAATGACACTTTAAACACTTTTTTGCGGGTTCTTTATTGTCCATTATCTTGCCATAATCTTGTATAGTTGACAAAATGTCTTCTAAATCATGAAATCATTACTTTTTCAAACTGTTGACCGTTGATGCTTCTGCGTTTTCTCACAAAAATATAACATTTCAGTGAGTATTTTAAGTATATTTTCTACACTATTTATTAACAGGCGATTTTCGTGTGTATATATGTAGTAGTTCGCGTCAGTAAACCCAGGTTTTGAGAGAAATTTCGGCCCTTAAAATCACTTGAAGTTATTCAAAAACTCAATACCCACGGCGTGCATCACCAGGGGCACCGAAATTACCAGAGGTGTGAGGATCGCGGAATCTTGTCTGTGTGGGGGGAGAGGGGAGGTCTGGGTGACACCCCTAATGCGTAATTCGCAAGCGATTTTGAGAAACATCAGTGCAAAGAACTGGCGACAAAACCAACCGTCATGTATGGACCTAGTGCAACTTGGTAACAACCACCTTCCCAATCTTCTGCTTCCGATAAAAACCAGCCAGTAATCCACCCTGAATGCTGTAGTCTGACTCTACTGACATTTGTTTGTTATTTTTAGTGATGAAAATCACAGTAGTTATCTACAACAAAAGAAAAAAAAGAAAAAAGATCGAACTTTAATATTCCCCGAAAATACAACAGAATCAACGAAGATAAAAAATAAAAACTTGTGAAATAAATACACACAATTTAGGCCCAAATTGTACCGGCGAATCAAGCGGCTATACTAAACACGAAACATTTTAATAAACTATAAAGCCGTTCAGTCATTTATATTGAGTTTCCTTTCGAGAATGATGACTATTTTGACGTTAAAAACCAACAAGGATTGTTTAAAAATGCTAAAAGAATACCAAAACACTAAAATTTCTCGCTAAAATCACTTAAAAAACGTTTAGGCGTTTAAATCTTGACATTTCCAAGCGTATGCCTTATTAATCGTTTTCTATGCATATACTTGTTAGGGACCGCCCCCCGAGACGGAAAAGCTTAAATACGTTAAATTTATCGTCGCTCTCAGGGCTAGCCACTGTAGCTGATTCGTCTATGACGCTAGGCTTTGTGGCGATGCATACTCTGTTTCTCACTGAGACGTAACGGTTAGGTGCACATACATCATGGTCTGGGGCCGTAGTGCATCTCCCCTTAGACGGCCGTTAAGATGTGAGTTATGGGGGGGAGTTCTTCCTATAGCAACTGTCCTTGCACCTTTCGTAGTTGTAACTATGTTGGTATATTGCAGCCGGTTGTATAACCAGGTTAGATTGTGGCATAGGCTGGATGATCTCTTTTGGGTGTTTTTACGTTCTTTCCCAAATTTTTCTTTTTTTTGGCGTGCTTTCCAAATTTTTCTTTTACATACAAAAAACACTGTTATTAAACATATATGAAACGGATATAAAAATTTGTATCGACTGAAAACAACCTTAATTTACCCCTGAATACTCTCCCCAGTCTCTGCATGGCTGAGTCAGCTCAACACGAATTATTATGCAAGAAAAAAAGTCAAACAACTACTTGAACAACTAATACAATTCCTGTTGAGTATAGGAATCTATAAAAAACCCCCCAAAAAAAACTCTGGGATAGACCAGAAATCAACTGTTCACGAATGAATCACTTCTGCAACAATTTTTTTTTTAAATGTCAAAGCGCCTGCCCACTATTGTACATGAATTACTTTTATTTTTGCCATAGTCAGCCACATTTGCCCTTGATCCCAATCACCGTCCTCGTCCTGGTACTCAGTTGTGTAACCAACATAAAATGGTATCACTGGGTCTGGACATTTCTTATCAATTTTTTTTCTAGCTTCTCTAATGACATTTACACAATTAGCCGTTGAAACGTCGCGAAAACAGGGAGAGAGATATGAATACAGGAATATCGCTCCAGGACAGATATGGCCATTCGAGTTTTGCTTGTACGACTGTAACATTTCCTCCAGCGCCAGGTTAAGAAGAAAATATTCCGAATGACCTGAATTCAGTGATAAACTTTTATCATAACCAGCAGTCGCTACATTAGGATGTTGTTTTTCGCAATCAATTGCAAGGAGTGGAGTCAGAGTTGGCCATATTGGGGGGTTAAACAACGCGACGCTATTATCTGGATCATAATTTGTAGACCAAAACGCTGCAGCTTCTTTTATGACGTTTTTCCGCCTACCCATTATCCACGACTGTACACAGGTTCTGAACATCGTAGACGGGGGGATTGGCGACGCTTCCCTGGTGAAGATAAAGAACACCAAACTGCTCTTGCTCAGGTGGATATGCGTTGCGAAAGTTGTTGCGAAGGGTCGTCAGTATTCTTCTCTCGTCTTCAAATTCCGCAGAGGAAAAAGACAGGATGAGAACAAAACCAATGAACCGTCTGATTTGCATCTTCCTGAAGTTTAACAAAAAGAAAAACATCAGGAGTCACAGATCATAAAAATGAAATGAAAGCATTAGAAAAAAAAACTCTTTTCAACCAGAAGAGGTTTGCATGAAGAACAGTTCTGGAAAATTTCTTTCCTAGATTCTTAACCTGGGTAAAGCTAACCGCGGCTCTTTGAAAGCCAATCCATATAGTGTCAAAATGTACACTAAAATACTGCAACTATACAAGTTGATACATTAAATCCTCAATAAACAGTTATAGTCTTGTACCTTGGCTTTGGATAATGAATAACTTCGCCTTTAACTTCGTGTAAGATCTTTACATGCAGATGAATACTTTGAATACAATAAAAAACAAATATATAATTGCATGTTCAACACATGCATCAGTTCTCCACACCTGCTTTCATGTGTCATTTGTCGTACCGTATTAAAGAATTATCGCAGGGTGTTTAATTGTACTGATTTCATACTTTAACCACTTCATTGTATTCAATGACACTTTAAACCCTTTTTACTCCGGCGTCAGCGACGGAGTTGAAAATTCGCCCCGGTTTTGTTTTGTTTTTGGTTTTTTTTTTTTTATTTTTTTTTTTATTATTTTTCGTCGTCGCAAGTCTGTAATGGCGCGAAATATACTAGTATTTGAATAGTGTATGTGATCGTATTTATCTACGTCCCAGTCTTATCTCCCAAGAGTTGTGGTGCACAGCTTTGGCTAATTTTCCAATGCGCGATTCGATTTCGCTCGCATGATATGGCAATTCCTCCAAGAGGAACAAATAAACCGTTCTTTTTATGCTGTTCGATTAAGTTTAGATTGAATTGGGGTAAGAATATATTTAATACATGTAGACTCGGTCCTATTTTAATAATATCGCTGCTATTTCGCCGTTTAACAAGATGATGTGGTCGTGTATGGGCGCGTTGACACGTCGCGTAGTTTGCACAGGATCGAAGATTTAATACAACTATATATAAGCGCGAATTCCAAAGGCAAAGTGTAAGACGAAGCGAATGTATCATGCGGTTTATTTACATTTTTGAACAATTGAACTTCTATACTGCGATGTGCTTCTGAATTTTGCGATCGAACATTTAGGTTCGCAAGGCATCTAAATGCGAATATGTATGCGAAACAATACGCGAACTGTATTGTTTATGTTCAGAAGCTCTATATTGAAGACTGGCACGTGCGCCGGAGTTAACGCCAGAACGGCGTCTTGTTTTAATTAATGTCCATTATCTTGCCATAATATTCGACTTGTATTGTTCTGTTGACAAAATGTCTCCTAAACCATGAAATCCTTACTTTTAAACTGTTGACCGTTGCTGCTTCAGTGCTTCTGCGTTTTTTCACAAATTTCAAGTATACTTTCCGGCTATACGATTATTTAACAGGTAATATTCGTGTGTATATGTAATATAGTAAGCGTCAGTAAACCCTGGCTTTGAGAAAAATTTCGGCCCTCAATCAATCGATCAATCAAATTTACTTAAAACACGGTAAAATCTTCAGTATAACAAATTACAAGAACATTAACGAAACATGATTACATATAACTATTGAATTACATAATATTACAAGGGTTAAAATCTCACTGATTTACAAGATTGCCATGCAATTGAAATAAAATATTTCGTATAGCGGTGAAACTGCATTTCCTGTGCAAGGCAGATGTAAATAACGATATACTTGAATACAGAGTTTTTGAAACATTGTAAAATACCAGTAATCTGTCTGTACTGAAATACAACAGGGCCGGTCTGGTCGTCTTTACCGCAGTGGCGTAGGTCAGGCTGGCTACGCTACTGTTTTAGGCGTACCGTATAAAAAAAATGGTCTAGGAACCTGTAGACCAGACTAAAAATGAAGGATAGACTAGAAATCAACTGTTCACGAATGAATTACTTTTGCAACAAGTTTTTTTAATGTCGGAGCGCCTGACTATGCACTATGGTACCTGAATTACATCTACGTTTACCGATTCCAGCGCTTCTTTCTCGGCCTTCCAGTCCTCTTTCTTTCCATTGTACTTCTTCGTGTAACCAACATAGAATGGTACTTCAGTTGTGCCTGAACATTCCACATTAATTGTATCTTTTCTCGCAAATCCAATTGAATTCATACAATTGAACCCGTACTTCCCGTATGGCAGGCTATAACAAGGAGAGTTGTATGAATATAGGAATATCGCTCCAGGACAGACGTTTCCTTCCGAGTTTTGTTTGTACGACTGCAACATTTTCTTCAGCGCCAGGGTAAGAAGAAAATATTCTGAATGACCTGCATTGCTCACGGGCTTGTGTATACTTTGATCATAACCAGCAGTCGCTACATTAGGATGCCGATTTTTACAATCTTCTGCAAGGAGTGGAGTCATAGTTGGCCATATTGGGGGATCAAACCTCGTGACACCATTAGCTGGATTAAAGATATTTGTAGACCAAGATGCTGCGGTACTTCTTATGACGTTTTTCTGCGTACCCGATTTATCCACGTCAGTACACAGGTTCTGAACATCGTAACTGACAACTGGGTCTGTGGCGACGCTTCCCTTGTGAAGATAAAGAACACCAAACTGTTGCCCGGCTGGATATGCGTTGCGAAAGTTGTTGCGAAGGGTCGTCATTATACTTCTCTCCTTTTCAAATTCCGCGGAGGAAAAAGACAGGATGAAAACAAGACCAATGAACCGTCTGATTTGCATCTTTCTGAAGTTTAACAAAAAGAAAAACATATAGTCACATAACAAAAATGGAATCAAAAACATTGAAAAAAAATTCTCTTCTCAACAGTCGCGTCCCAAATCGTTTTGTAGAGCATAAATATAAACCACACTGAGTGGTGTCCTTGTCGCTTTGGCAATCAAACCGCCCGGCCTATACACCTTTTTATGAACCAAAAGTGCCCCTGAAAGCTGGTGCCCCCCCCCCCCGCGCAATCTCTGGATGCTTCCTACTTCCCAGCTTTTCAACTAGAAGAGGTTTCTGCACGAAGTGCAACAGTACTGGAAAATTTCATTTCTAGATTCTTAACCTGGGTAAAGCTAACCGCGGCTCTTTGAAAGCCAGCCTATAATGTCAAAACGTACACTAAAACACTGCAACTATACAAGTTCATAACATTAAATCATCAATAAACGCTTGTACCTTGGCTTTGGATAATGAATAACTTCGTCTTTAAGTTCGTGTAAAATCTTTTCACGCGGATGAATATAATAAATACGAAGGATGAGAAAGATATATATATATAATTGCGTGTTCAACACATCAGTTCTCTAGACCTGCTTTCATGTGTCATGTGTCTTACTACGTATGAAGAATTATCGCAGGGTGTTCAATTATACTAATTTCATACTTTAACAACTTCGTTCACACTTTAAACACCTTTTTTGCGGGTTTTTTAATCGGTCCATTATCTTGCCACAATCTTCGATTTGAATCTATTGCTGAGTTGACAAAATGTCTTCTAAACCATGAAATCATTACTTTTTTAAACTGTTGAACGTTGATGTTTCTGTGTTTTCTCACAAAAATATAACATTTCAGTGAGTATTTTAAGTATATTTTCTACACTAGTTATTAACAGGCGATATTCGTGTATATATGTAGTAGTTCGCATCAGTAAACCCTGGCTTTGAGAGAAATTTCGGCCCTCAAAATCACTTGAAGTTATTCGGGACGAAATTACCAGAGGTGTGAGGATCGCGGGGATCGTGTGGGGGTTTGGGTAACACCCCTAATGCGTAATTCGCAAGCGATTAGGTTAGTTTTAATTTAAGTCGATTTTGAGACAAAAGTCAGTGGTCACATGAATACGTATCGTATTTAACTATATTTGTGACATTTATAAGAAAGTATTATGTTTGGCGGAAAAATATGGAAAAGATTGATTAATTACGTTACTTTGTGGCAAGAACTACATGTATAATTATTAGTTATTTTGAGAAACATCAGTGCAAAGAACTGACGACAAAATCAGCCGTCATTTATGGACCTAGTGCAACCTTGTAACAGTCACCATCCCCGATCTTCTGCGCACGATAAAAACCAGCCAGTAATCCACCTTGAATACTGTTTTCTCTTGAAGGAACATTCATGATCTCAGCACCCTTTCCACCTTTGAAAATAAAGATTCGTATTTAAATATATGGAACTTGAATCACGACTTAAGTTATATGTCGTATTTTGAGACAATTTATGATTGATTTGTACAAAATATATACATTCATTGCATCAGAATCTCGACGTTAGCATTCAGGCAGTTCTTCTCACAGACGGGTCATAACTACTGCTACATGGATGATAACTCGACTTTGATACGGTTCTAAATGCCCGCTAGTATAGCTGGGTAAACTGTAACAAACCTTGTCTGCTCGATGCAAACGGATATTCGTCACAATTTTTTCCCGGTACTTTTGGCAATTTTGGACAACCGGAGTTTCTTCTGTTCTGTGCTATAATCTTAGGGTCTGTGACGCGGTTTAACATTGTAGGTTTTCCCTTTGAAATGGCGTTTCGCATATTGTTGCAGACGTTTGGGATACGAGAACATGGAAATGTGATGGTGGGACATTCTTTAAGAAATAAGAAATAACTTAAAGTTGTTGTGAAAGTTGTTGTGTTCATCCCGTTCAGCGAGTCTATAAACGAATATCAAAACTAAACTTTTCATCATGTGTGCCCGAGTCTGCCCCCAAAATTTCGTACACATCTGCTCAGTACTTAAGCGGTGAATATAAAGATAAAGTTGGAGTAATTTCGTTCATGTTTCACTGTAAGAGAATACTCGTGCACACAGGAATACTAAAGGCATCCATGCGTACAGTAAAATGAAACAAAAATTGCACAGTAGTCAATACACACCATCAGACTGCGCCATTAAAGTCGGAATGAAAGCAACAAAACTTTCAGATTCTACAAAATCAAATAACTCGCATTTACCATACTGTATTAAACCATAACTGAAAGCAAATTATATAGGAGGCGGAAGTCATATAATTGACTATTTGCTACCCTACAGCCTATATCATCTAGTTTGTCAACCCACTAAACTCAGCCTTCAGATATCTTACTTTTCAACTTCAAGACTTCCTTTTGTTTTCACTCCAACGAAAACGACGTGGTTATAGATCCAAGATACTGACTCAACAAGAAGTTAACCGTGTTTTAGCCTACTCAAAACGTACCTTTCAAATGTCCAGCGAAGCAGTTTTCCTTTATTTATTTATTTATTTATAAATAAATAAATAAATAAATTATTTCCTTTATTTATTTCCGCCCCAGAGCCGGAAATCAAGAAAGTGGAGATATTGACATTATTTGTTGTCTCGCTAAAACCCAGGGTTTGGTAAATGGAAGTCCTATAATAAGGTCTGGATGACTTGACAAATGTATGGTCAACCATTGACTCACCACACGACTGTCAACAGTAAAAATAGGCAACAAAAATACCCAAAACATCAGCGGAAAAAAGAGAACAAACCAGGGCTGGATCCAGCACTAAGGCACAAATTTGCATTACAAAACAAAGTGGTTTATATTTTTAGCAGTTTTCTTGTGTCATGCAAATTAGTGCACTAGTGCTGGATCCACCCAGGAACAAACGTTTGTCTCTGTCTCGCGCACGCAAATAAGACGTTTGTTAAAGAAATGTCGTATTACGTTTCTGACAATATTTATTTTGTGACAGCACAAAAGAAACGTCTACAACATCAGTAGCTTTAGACCACACGATATGAAGACCTGGCTCTAATAAGTTTGATCTTGAAAGAATCGCCATCTTTGATATCATATTTCTTGAAAAATTGTGCCAGTTTGCCCCCTTGCCTGTTGTTTTCTTTTATCGGAACCGGCCTCAAAACAGCACCTTTTCCACCTTAGAACATGAAATCTGTGTTAGATTAATATGTCACATGTGTTTCACGTGATCATCAGTTACCACTGAACTATATATACTTATCATTATGTGAAAATGCTTGTTTTTGACCGCGATATCTTACCCTGGGCACAGCACGCAAACGGGTACTCGTCAATATTATAGCCTGCTGGTCTCGATCCATACGCGGCACATCCAGCTTCCACTCTGTTTTTACGGATTAGGGCCTTGTCTGTAATGCGGTTCAAGGTTGAAGGTTTTCCCATGATATTAATAGCGTAGTCTATGTTATCCCAGACGTTCGGAATTTTACTGCGAGACATTTCTAAAACTGGGCGTGAGGCAGCAGTCTCGTGAGTTGCGGAGTCTAAATAATAATTATAACTAGGAGTTACTATCGCAAGGAGATTGCTGCCTTGGGAAAACAACTATATATTAGCTTGAAAAAAAACTTTATCTACAAGTGATATCAGTGATTAAGTCTAAACAGATAAACTTACAGCACTTCAAAACTTACTACTTACACTTATTTGATGAAGTCTGAAATATTTACATCTTAATAGTAACAAGCAATTAATACTGATAATAACTTTTTATTAATAAGGCATTAATAGTAACAAACACTATGTATGCAATACAGTGCCATACATAAGTGTTTGTGATTGACTTATTGGTGGGGGGAGGGGTTTACATTATGTTTTCTCAACTGGTATATTATTTATATGAAAAAGATTTGCAATGCTTTTCAAAAAAAGTAAGATAAATTTATATTAAAAGAAGAACAGGAAATGTCAACATAATCGTACAAAATGTCAAATGCACTATCAAATTTAAATGTCAATTTCAGCAGCACAGTAACATGTGCCATAAATAGTTATTTAATGTTACATGTCAATAACATCTATAAAAGGGTACACAAAAACAAACATTTCTAATGTGACAATGGGGACTGTCGACACAGTAGAAAGACAAATGTCTTGGGGAACTATGTCTACCAAGGCTTTTACATTTGCACTATTAAGTCTATATTGTCAAGCCAAATCAGTTTCATTACACTGTTGTTTGCTTGTATACTCCCTCATATTTTTCATGATCATTTTCCTTTGAATGTTTAGCTTTTTTGTAATTCCCTATTTTTTCGGGGCCTTACACTCTGAATAAAATTCCCAGTTTTGGTTGAGGTGCAATTTTAAAAAAGAAGTTCTGTAAACTGAACAGGCACAATTTCAAACAAATTGCAATGCTATGCCTCAGAAAGAAATACAAATATTGCTCTAAATCTGAAATGTTAAGTTTGCAAAAGTTCAGCAATACTACTGCTGTACCATTAGGATTGGACATTCCAAAACAATTATGTGCATGAGAATCAAACAGATAGAAAACACTCCATATTATGCTTTATCAAAGAACATATTTATATTTAACCAATGTATTTGCAATTGCTATGTGAAGTTTATAAGAGGGAATGTCCTCATGAATGATAACAAGCCCTTGCAGTTTTTCAATTACACAAATTACTTCCCCATCATTTGTGTGACCATTGAGTCAGCCACAATGGACGACTCATAATTGTCATTTACCACAACAGGTCACTATCACTCACCACGATGGGTGGTTCATTTCGCTCAGATATCGAAATAAAGCTCATTCTCAAAACATGATACACTAACAAGTTTTGGCAGGTCTTTCGCGGATAAATACACGGCACCTGGTGGCAAATTGTCAAGTGATTTCTGTGATTATTCATCGCTTTTATATACATTTTGTCGCCTTGTATTAATAAACAAGACGCTTTCTCGAGCGTGTAGCCGTTGGGCATATCTACAGGGTGTCCCAAAAAAACGAAAACTATTGAAATCACTCATTGTTAAAATTTGAATGCCGTGTTCACGAATTTCAGCCCGTGGGGATTTAATGCAACTTATAAAATGCTAAATGTTGTGTTGCTAGAGAAAGGGGACGTATCGAAGGTCATGGTCCTTGAGATGCACATTTAAATAATGTTGCGCCCTTAGTGAAACGTTCCAAAAGACCAAAATGAAAATTGTGTACAAACCTACACGCTCCATAGACGGCAGTGAAACGTCTTGATAACTTTATGGGGAATCTTAAATCCCAAAAGAAAAAAACAACTGAACAAAAATTTATTACAATACGCTATAATTGGCGTGCGTACAGGCTATAAATCATCTATGCTATAAATTGTGTATGTTTCATAACATGGTCGCCATTTTGAATTTTATTTCGTAAAAATTACGTAAATTGAATGACGTAATTTGTCATTTTGTGAACTACCAATACCGAAACCTATAGTCGTTGGCGCCGCAGGCGGCCCAACGACTAAAAAGTGTTTAATGTCGTTAGCGACCATTGATTGCCATTGGCGCAAAGGCTTTTGTGGGCTGTTAAAAGTCCTAATAAACTATTAAAAGCACACTGTTTACCTCTAGAGGTAACATGAAAACAGTCATCAGCCATAATTTGTCGATTGCTTCAGCGTCAAGTCTTTTTTTAATACTTGCCTTGGAGTACGAACTTGCTTGTTATTTTAAAAAATACCGCAGCGTCACTGCGTCAAACTCCGCCCGGTCACAAAGCCCGATGTCACAGGATAATTGCCCCCCCCCCGATATATAATTGCATGTTCAATACATCAGTTCTCCACACCTGCTTTCATGTGTCATGTGTCATACCTTATTAAACTAATTAGAGAATTATCACACGGTGTTAATTGTACTAATTTCACATTTTAACGACTTCATTGTTTTCAATGGCACTTTAAACACTTTTTTGTGGGTTTTTTATTGTCCATTATCTTGCCATAATCTTGTATAGTTGACAAAATGTCTTCTAAACCATGAAATCATTACTTTTTTAAACTGTTAACCGCGTTGATGCTTCTGCGTTTTCTCACAAAAATATAACATTTCCGTGAGTATTTTAAGTATATTTTCTACACTAGTTATTAACAGGCGATATTCGTGTATATATGTAAGCAGTTCGCGTCAGTGAACCCTGGCTTTGAGAGAAATTTCGGCCCTTAAAATCACTTGAAGTTATTCGGGGCGAAATTACCAGAGGTGTGAGGATCGCGGGGATCGTGTGGGGGTTTGGGTAACACCCCTAATGCGTAATTCGCAAGCGATTAGGTTAGTTTTAGTTTAAGTCGATTTTGAGACAAAAATCAGTGGTCACATGAATACGTATCGTATTTAGCTATATTTGTGTCATTTATAAGAAAGAATTGTTTAGCGGAAAATCATTGAAAAGATTGATTAATTCATTACTTTGTGAGAAATCACATATATAGTTATTAGTTATTTTGAGAAACATCAGTGCAAAGAATTGACGACAAAATCAGCCGTCACTTATGGACCTAGTGCAACCTTGTAACAGTCACCATTCCCGATCTTCTGCTTTCGATAAAAACTGGCCAGTAATCCACCTTGAATACTGTTTTCTCTTGAAGGAACATTCATTATAACAGCACCCGCTCCACCTTTGAAAATAAAAATTTGTATTTAAATATATGGAACTTGAATTTAAATGTATGGACTTAAGTTATACGTCGTATTTTGAAACAATTTATGATTGATCTGTACAAAATATACAGATTCATAGCATCAGAATCTCGACGCTAGCATTCAGTAGGCAGTTCTTCTCACAGACGAGTCATAACATGACCGATAACTCGACTTTGATACGGTTTTAAATGCCCGCTAATATAGCTGGGTAATAAACTGTTACTAACCTTGCATGCTTGATGCAAACGGGTATTCGTCACAATTTTTTCCAGGTACTTTTGGCAATTTTGGACAACCGGAGTTTCTTCTGTTCTTTGCTATTGTCTTCGGGTTTGTGACGCGGTTTAATGTTGTAGGTCTTCCCTTTGAAATGGCGTTTCGCATATTTTTGCAAACGTTTGGCATACGAGAACAGGGAAATTTGATGCGCGGACACGGTGTTAATGCTCTAAGAAATAACTTAAAGTTGTTGTGAAAGTTGTTGTGTTTCATCCCGTTCATCGAGTCTATAAACAAATATCAAAACTGAAATTTTCATCATGTGTGCCCGAGTCTGCCCTCAAAATCTCGTACACATCTGCTCAGTACTTCAACTCGGTGATAAGATAATGCAAGAGAATAAACTCGTGCACACAGGAATACAAAAGGTATCCATGCGTACAGTAGAATGAAACAAAAATTGCACTGAGTAGTCAGTACCCACCATCAGACTTCGCCATTAAAGTCGGAATAAAAGCAACCAAAGCAATGAATAATAGGATGGACTTCATTTTTAAACTTTCAGACTTCTACAAAATTAAATAACTCGCATTTACCATACTGTATTAAACCATAACTGAAAGCACATTATATAGCGAGGCGGAAGTCATATAATTGACTATTTGCTACAGTCTATATCATCTAGTTTGTCAACCCACTAAACTCAGCCTTCAGATATCTTACTTTTCAACTTCAAGGCTTCCTTTTGTTTTCACTCCTACGAAATACGCCGTCAGTGGTTATAGATCCAAGCTACTGACTCAACAAGAAGTTAACCGTGTTTGAGCCTACTCAAAACGTACCTTTCAAATGTCCACCGAAGCAGTTTTCATTTACTTAGAAGTACCGCCCAAAAGCCGGAAATCAAGGAAGTGGAGATATTGACATTATTTGTTGTCTCGCTAAAACCCAGGGTTTGGTAAAATACATGTCCTAATAAGATCTGGATGATTTAACACTGAAATGTATGGTCAACCATTGACCCACCACGCGACTGTCAACAGTAAAAAAAGGCAACAAAAATACCCGGCAAAACATCAGGGGAAAAAAGAGAACAAACCAGGGATAGATCATGCAGCACTAATGCACAAATTTGCATTACAAAACAAAGTGGTTTATATTTTTAGCAGTTTTCTTGTGTCATGCAAATTAGTGCACTAGTGCTGAATCCACCCAGGAACAAACGTTTGTCTCTGTCTCGCGCACGCAAATAAGACGTTTGTTAAAGAAATGTCGTATTACGTTTCTGACAATATTTATTTTGTGACAGCACAAATAAAACGTCTACAACATCAGTAGCTTTAGACCACACGATATGAAGACCTGGCTCTAAGTAAGTTTGATCTTGAAAGAATCGCCATCTTTGATATCATTTTTCTTGAAAAATTGTGCCAGTTTGCCCCCTTGGATGCTGTTTTCTCTTATCGGAACCGGCCTCAAAACAGCGCCTTTTCCACCTTAGAACATGAAATCTGTGTTAGATTAATATGTCACATGTGTTTCACGTGATCATCAGTTACCACTGAACTATATATACTTATCATTATGTGAAAATGCTTGTTTTTGACCGCGATATCTTACCCTGGGCACAGCACGCAAACGGGTACTCGTCAATATTATAGCCTGGTGGTCTCGATCCATACGCGGCACATCCAGCTTCCACTCTGTTTTTACGGATTAGGGCCTTGTCTGTAATGCGGTTCAAGGTTGAAGGTTTTCCCATGATATTAATAGCGTAGTCTATGTTATCATAGACGTTCGGAATTTTACTGCGAGACATTTCTAAAACTGGGCGTGAGGCAGCAGTCTCGTGAGTTGCGGAGTCTAAATAATAATTATAACTAGGAGTTACTATCGCAAGGAGATTGCTGCCTTGGGAAAACAACTATTTATTAGCTTGAAAAAAAACTTTATCTACAAGTGATATCAGTGATTAAGTCTAAACAGATAAACTTACAGCACTTCAAAACTTACTACTTACACTTATTTGATGAAGTCTGAAATATTTACATCTTAATAGTAACAAGCAATTAATACTGATAATAACTTTTTATTAATAAGGCATTAATAGTAAACACTATGTATGCAATACAGTGCCATACATAAGTGTTTGTGATTGACTTATTGGTGGGGGGAGGGGTTTACATTATGTTTTCTCAACTGGTATATTATTTATATGAAAAAGATTTGCAATGCTTTTCAAAAAAAAGTAAGATAAATTTATATTAAAAGAAGAACAGGAAATGTCAACATAATCGTACAAAATGTCAAATGCACTATCAAATTTAAATGTCAATTTCAGCAGCACAGTAACATGTGCCATAAATAGTTATTTAATGTTACATGTCAATAACATCTATAAAAGGGTACACAAAAACAAACATTTCTAATGTGACAATGGGGACTGTCGACACAGTAGAAAGACAAATGTCTTGGGGAACTATGTCTACCAAGGCTTTTACATTTGCACTATTAAGTCTATATTGTCAAGCCAAATCAGTTTCATTACACTGTTGTTTGCTTGTATACTCCCTCATATTTTTCATGATCATTTTCCTTTGAATGTTTAGCTTTTTTGTAATTCCCTATTTTTTCGGGGCCTTACACTCTGAATAAAATTCCCAGTTTTGGTTGAGGTGCAATTTTAAAAAAGAAGTTCTGTAAACTGAACAGGCACAATTTCAAACAAATTGCAATGCTATGCCTCAGAAAGAAATACAAATATTGCTCTAAATCTGAAATGTTAAGTTTGCAAAAGTTCAGCAATACTACTGCTGTACCATTAGGATTGGACATTCCAAAACAATTATGTGCATGAGAATCAAACAGATAGAAAACACTCCATATTATGCTTTATCAAAGAACATATTTATATTTAACCAATGTATTTGCAATTGCTATGTGAAGTTTATAAGAGGGAATGTCCTCATGAATGATAACAACCCTTGCAGTTTTTCAATTACACAAATTACTTCCCCATCATTTGTTGTGACCATTGAGTCAGCCACAATGGACGACTCATAATTGTCATTTACCACAACAGGTCACTATCACTCACCACGATGGGTGGTTCATTTCGCTCAGATATCGAAATAAAGCTCATTCTCAAAACATGATACACTAACAAGTTTTGGCAGGTCTTTCGCGGATAAATACACGGCACCTGGTGGCAAATTGTCAAGTGATTTCTGTGATTATTCATCGCTTTTATATACATTTTGTCGCCTTGTATTAATAAACAAGACGCTTTCTCGAGCGTGTAGCCGTTGGGCATATCTACAGGGTGTCCCAAAAAAACGAAAACTATTGAAATCACTCATTGTTAAAATTTGAATGCCGTGTTCACGAATTTCAGCCCGTGGGGATTTAATGCAACTTATAAAATGCTAAATGCTTTGTGTTGCTAGAGAAAGGGGACGTATCGAAGGTCATGGTCCTTGAGATGCACATTTAAATAATGTTGCGCCCTTAGTGAAACGTTCCAAAAGACCAAAATGAAAATTGTGTACAAACCTACACGCTCCATAGACGGCAGTGAAACGTCTTGATAACTTTATGGGGAATCTTAAATCCCAAAAGAAAAAACACAACTGAACAAAAATTTATTACAATACGCTATAATTGGCGTGCGTACAGGCTATAAATCATCTATGCTATAAATTGTGTATGTTTCATAACATGGTCGCCATTTTGAATTTTATTTCGTAAAAATTACGTAAATTGAATGACGTAATTTGTCATTTTGTGAACTACCAATACCGAAACCTATAGTCGTTGGCGCCGCAGGCGGCCCAACGACTAAAAAGTGTTTAATGTCGTTAGCGACCATTGATTGCCATTGGCGCAAAGGCTTTTGTGGGCTGTTAAAAGTCCTAATAAACTATTAAAAGCACACTGTTTACCTCTAGAGGTAACATGAAAACAGTCATCAGCCATAATTTGTCGATTGCTTCAGCGTCAAGTCTTTTTTTAATACTTGCCTTGGAGTACGAACTTGCTTGTTATTTTAAAAAATACCGCAGCGTCACTGCGTCAAACTCCGCCCGGTCACAAAGCCCGATGTCACAGGATAATTGCCCCCCCCCCCGATATATAATTGCATGTTCAATACATCAGTTCTCCACACCTGCTTTCATGTGTCATGTGTCATACCTTATTAAACTAATTAGAGAATTATCACACGGTGTTAATTGTACTAATTTCACATTTTAACGACTTCATTGTTTTCAATGGCACTTTAAACACTTTTTTGTGGGTTTTTTATTGTCCATTATCTTGCCATAATCTTGTATAGTTGACAAAATGTCTTCTAAACCATGAAATCATTACTTTTTTAAACTGTTAACCGCGTTGATGCTTCTGCGTTTTCTCACAAAAATATAACATTTCCGTGAGTATTTTAAGTATATTTTCTACACTAGTTATTAACAGGCGATATTCGTGTATATATGTAAGCAGTTCGCGTCAGTGAACCCTGGCTTTGAGAGAAATTTCGGCCCTTAAAATCACTTGAAGTTATTATTCGGGGCGAAATTACCAGAGGTGTGAGGATCGCGGGGATCGTATCGGGGTTTGGGTAACACCCCTAAAGCGTAATTCGCAAGCGATTAGGTTAGTTTTAACTCATTCCCGTCCGGTCTGATTAATTTAGGACTTAGAAGTCCTACTTTTTTAATGTCTAATAACTCCGCGAATGCGCGAGCAAAAAACACAAAAATACCACCAAATTATAGCTTGAGAAAAGTACTATAACCCCATCGTTTCTGTTATAATCCGGAAATTAATAAATATTTCTGTTAACCTGACACCGCCGTGCAGCTGTCAAAATCATATCAAATTACAAAGTGATGACAACCGGAAATATAGCTCGCCTTTGGAATTTCGTTTTTTTCTTTTTTCTTTTTTCATCCTTTCGTATTTTAACCGTTATAGATAAACTAGAAATGCTTTATTTATCTTTTCTGATAGTTTTTAAGTCAGGATGGGCAGAAAAACTCGAAAAATATCGATTTTTCTGATTTGTTATTGTTTGTAGCGAGATGCGTTGCTCAGCGCACGCACATGCGGTTGTCGCGTGAGGTGAAAGGTGTCAAAAACTCAATGATGCCTACCCCCTAGGGGTAAAATAAGCCCGGAAATCGATTTCTGGGGTAAAATTGTCCCTAGAAGACATATATTCGGCCTTTCTGGAGCGAAATTTTTCCGATTTTTTGTCAAATTTTCGCCAATATGGTGATAATTATATGCAAATTTTCGGGTTTTCCGTTTGTAAACACGTTTGTTGGAAATACCACTACAAATCGCCAAAACGACTGTATTTCAAGCAAAATAGATGGAAATATTGATCACAATGTAAGCTACAAACATTTGGAGGTTTTTAGGCGAGATTTCTGGAAGGCTTTGCGTATTTTCGCTTCTCCAAAATTCAATTTCAAAAGTACAAGATCGGCAATTAATATCTTGGCTTATAGGAAAGCTATTGAAATGAACTAAACTTATACAAATAGATAAATGTTTTAGCTTTAAGATAATACAATTTCTAGTTGATTTGATAAAATACTTGCAGATAAAATCGAAATTATCTGCGTGCGTCGTTTACGACCGGACGGCAATGAGTTTTAATTTAAGTCGATTTTGAGACAAAAGTCAGTGGTCACATGAATACGTGTCGTATTTAGCTATATTTGTGTCATTTATAAGAAAGAATTGTTTAGCGGAAAATTATTGAAAAGATTGATTAATTACGTTACTTTGCGACAAGAATCACATTTATAGTTATTAGTTATTTTGAGAAACATCAGTACAAAGAATTGACGACAAAATCAGCCGTCATTTATGGACCTAGTGCAACCTTGTAACAGTCACCATTCCCGATCTTCTGCTTTCGATAAAAACTGGCCAGTAATCCACCTTGAATACTGTTTTCTCTTGAAGGAACATTCATTATAACAGCACCTGCTCCACCTTTGAAAATAAAGATTTGTATTTAAATATATGGAACTTGAATTTAAATGTATGGACTTAAGTTATACGTCGTATTTTGAAACAATTTATGATTGATCTGTACAAAATATACAGATTCATAGCATCAGAATCTCGACGCTAGCATTCAGTAGGCAGTTCTTCTCACAGACGGGTCATAACATGACCGATAACTCGACTTTGATACGGTTTTAAATGCCCGCTAGTATAGCTGGGTAATAAACTGTTACTAACCTTGCATGCTTGATGCAAACGGATATTCGTCACAATTTTTTCCAGGTACTTTTGGCAATTTTGGACAACCGGAGTTTCTTCTGTTCTTTGCTATTGTCCTCGGGTTTGTGACGCGGTTTAACGTCGTAGGTTTTCCCTTTGAAATGGCGTTTCGCATATTTTTGCAGACGTTTGGCATACGAGAACAGGGAAATTTGATGCGGGGACACGGTGTTAATGCTCTAAGAAATAACTTAAAGTTGTTGTGAAAGTTGTTGTGTTTCTTCCCGTTCATCGAGTCTATAAACAAATATCAAAACTGAAATTTTCATCATGTGTGCCCGAGTCTGCCCTCAAAATCTCGTACACATCTGCTCAGTACTTCAACTCGGTGATAAGATAAATGCAAGAGAATATCCTCGTGCACACAGGAATACAAAAGGTATCCATGCATACAATAAAATGACACAAAAATTTCACAGTAGTCAGTACCCACCATCAGACTTCGCCATTAAAGTCGGAATGAAAGCAATCAAAGCAATGAATAATAGGATGGACTTCATTTTTAAACTTTCAAACTTCTACAAAATCAAATAACTCACATTTACCATACGGTATTAAACCATAACTGAAACCACATTATATAGCGAGGCGGAAGTCATATAATTGACTATTTGCTACAGTCTATATCATCTAGTTTATCAACCAACTAAACTCAGCCTTCACCTAACTTACTTTTCAACTTTAGGACTTCCTTTTGTTTTCACTCCTACGAAAACGACGTGGTTATAGATCCAAGCTACTGACTCAACAAGAAGTTAACCGCCTTTTAGCCTTCGCAAAACGTACCTTTCAAATGTCCAGCGAAGCAGTTTTCCTTTACTTAGAAGTACCGCCCCAAAGCCGGAAATCAAGGAAGTGGAGATATTGACATTATTTGTTGTCTCGCTAAAATCCAGGGTTTGGTAAAATACATGTCCTAATAAGGTCTGGATGACTTGAAAAATGTATGGTCAACCATTGACTCACCACGCGACTGTCAACAGTAAAAAAAGGCAACAAAAATACCCAAAACAACACGGGAAAAAAGAGAACAAACGAGGGATGGATCATGCAGCACTTAATGCTATTTTTTGCAGTTTTCTTGTGTCATGCAAATTAGTGCTCTAGTGCTGGATCCATCCCAGGAACAAACGCTTGTCTCTGTCGCGTGCACGCAAATAAGACGTTTGTTAAAGAAATGTTGTATTACGTTTCTGACAATATTTATTTTGTGACAGCACAAAAGAAACGTCTACAACACCAGTAGCTTTAGACCACACGATATGAAGAGCTGAAGCTAGCAACTGACTAATAATTTGTGTCGTTAATAAGTTTGATGTCGTAAGAATCGCCATCTTTGATATTATATTTCTTGTAAAATTGTGCCAGTATGCCCCCTTGCCTGCTGTTTTCTATTATCGGAACCAGCCTCAAAATAGCATCTTTTCCACCTTAGAAAATAAAATCTGTGTTAGATTAATACATCACATGTGTTTCACGTGCTCATAAGTTACCACTGAATTATTTAACACTTATTTACTGCGAACGAAGGAAACATTATGTTTTGTGGACCCGAGACCTGTCGATATTTCACGAGGCGAAGCCGAGTGAAATATCGATGGTCGAGGGTCCACAAAACATAATGTTTTCTGAGTTTTTGGTAAATAAGTGTTTTATTATATACGACTTGTCAAAGAAAAACCAAACTACAGGGTAAAACAACGAAATATCTATTCATAAAAGACATAATTTCAAATGGATAAAAGTTGTTATTTCCCATGAGATAACACGTTATCTCACTCTGCAGGGGGTCGCGCTGGCGACATCAAAATTTCGTCACTCTCGCGTGATTCGCTCTCGACCAATGAAACGCTACGAAAACAAAACTTTGACAAGTGGTATATAATAAATATACTTATCATTATGTAAAAACTGTGAATATGATACTTTGAAATATTTTTACTTGTTTTTGACCGAGATCTTACCCTGGACACTGGATGCTACCGGGTACTCGTCAACATTATAGCCTGGTGGTCTCGCTCCATACTTAGTTACACCAGAATCCACTCTGTTTTTCCTGATTTGGGCCTTGTTTGTAGTGCGGGTCAAAGTTGCAGATTTTTTCTTGGTGTAAATAGCGAAGTGCATGTTATCCCAGACTTGCGGAAATTTACTGCGATACATTTTTAAAACTGGGCGAAAGAAAGCACGTTTCTCAGATGATGATTCCTTGTTGCTAATCTCGTGAGATGCGGAGTCTAAATAATTATAAAAACACATTTTTGATAGCACCTTTCGCTATATTTTTCTTTTCAAGGCCTTTTTTCGATATTTATTTTGGGTTCGCCTCGAGTCATACTTTACGACATTATACAGCTTTACGGTAGAAAATACAGTTGATGGGTTTATAAAATAAAAATAAAAAGTGGGTTAGATACGAACCTCTTCCATGAATGGTTGTTGTGAATGCGGCGAGAAAAACACAAACAAGAAATGGCAAAAAAACTTTCATCCTTAAAATTTTGAGTGTTTAAAAGCTAATCTTCTGATTTCTGTAAGTCTGAAAAAATAATCCTAATTAGGCTGTTGCTGTGTATTTTATGACATTATTCCATTAATAAAAGTATACAATAAAATCGCAAAACAAAATGACCCAACTATGTGGTAAATTCTTCAGTTAAAAATGTTGCGTATTTATTGCAGAAAGAAGAAGTTTCTGCATGAAGAAAAGTATTGGAAATTTCATTTTTTGTTCTTACTTCTTAACCTGCGTTAAACTAACC